ATTCAATCGTCCTCGGCACTGAACGCGTGCTTGGACGTCAAGCTGACGATCAGAACATTTCAGGATCATGGGTTCCTGATCAATTTTCAAAAGAGTCACCTATCCCCAACCAACCGGCTATTACACTTGGGCGCAATAATCGATACCAACCTGGGTCAAGTTTTTCTATCCCAAGAGCGTCGAACCAGCATACGCATGTTGGTCTCCAAGGTGCGCAGGGAAAAGCGGGTGACCCTGCTCCTTCTTTCGCAGCTGTTGGGAAAATTAATTTCCTGCATCGCTATAGTGCCCTGGGCCAGACTTCACACGAGACAACTCCAGTGGTTTCTGCTCCCTTATCAGAGGCGGGGAGAAGCCTGCTTTCCACAGAGGGTGCAGGTCCCAGTTCAGACCCTTTCTTCCCTTCTCTGGTGGCTATCCCCGGCTTTGGACAAAGGATCCATGTTCAGGGAACCAGTTCGCATAACCTTGACCACGGACGCCAGCTTATTCGGATGGGGGGCGCATCTACAACTTCATTTAGCGCAAGGTCAGTGGTCCAAAAGGGATCTCAAACAGAACATAAATTGGCTGGAGCTAAGGGCCATACACCTGGCACTTCGCCATTTCCACAAGATAGTGGAAGGCCGCCACGGGCTAGTCCTGATGGACAACGTGGCGGCAAAGGCCCACATCAACAGGCAGGGCGGAACACGATCTCGGGCCCTAATGTCGGAGGCACGATTACTGGGGGTGTGGGCGGAGAGAAATCTTCTGTCCCTAAAAGCGGAACACATTTCGGGGGTGGACAACCGCCAGGCGGATTTCTTGAGTCGGTCTATAGTAGACCACTCAGAGTGGCGTTTGCATCCCCGTCTCTTTCGAGAGATCACTCACCGGTTTGGTCGACCCACTGTCGACCTGTTCGCTTCCCCGGCGAACGCCCAGCTTCCCCGGTTTCTCTCTCGATACCCTTCTCAGGGTTCGGAGGGAGCGGATGCCCTTCGCACTCCTTGGCCGAGGGGCCTCCTATACGCATTCCCTCCTCTTCCCTTGATCCCGGCCGTCATCAGGAAGCTGTTGCAGGAACAAGCGGAACTGATTTTTGTGGCCCCACACTGGCCGAGGCGACCATGGTTCGCGGATCTCGTGAATCTCACCGTAGCTCCTCCGTGGAAAATTCCTCCAGAGCGGATAGTCCTAACACAGGGAGCCGTACAGCATCCGGATCCACAGTGGCTCCAACTGGCCGTATGGCATCTGAACGCCAGTTCCTAATGCAGGGATCTTACTCTTCAAGAGTAATTACTATGATCCAGGCTTCAAGGCGGCTGGCGACAAACCGGATCTACGATGCCACTTGGAGGAATTTTTGTGACTGGTGTGCCAACAAAGGTTTATCTCTTTCTTCCGTCACTATTCTGGGAGTTTTGGAATACCTCATGGATGGGGTGGATAGGGGCTTAGTGCCCAACACTATCCGTAGACAGGTAGCCGTGCTTTCTACGGTGTTCACCTTACCAACTCTACGCCACTATCCCATCATCCAGCGGTCCGATCCTTTATCAAGGGTGTAACCAATGCCAGGCCTCCTGTGGTGCATCGGTATCCTTCCTGGGAGTTGCCTCGAGTCCTACAGGCCCTTACAAGACTCCCCTTTGAACCTCTCGGGTCTTGTCCACTTCATCTTTTATCCTACAAAGTGGCCTTTCTGGTGGCAGTCACGTCGGCAAGGCGTGTTTCGGAACTGGCCGCGCTCTCTGTCAGGGAGGACCTATGTACCTTCCATCAAGACAGAGTGGTTTTGAGATTAGATCCCTTATTCATTCCCAAGGTGAATTCACTATTTCACCGGGCCCAGGAAATTATATTGCCGGATTTCTGTCCCAATCCCTCTTGTTCCCTTGAGCGCAAGTGGCACTCCTTGGATGTGCGCAGAGCACTGCGCCATTATCTTAAAAGAACGGCCACTTTTCGCAAATCGGAGGCGTTGTTTGTTTCTTTCCGCCTAGGCTCCAAGGGACAGAAGGTTACCTCTTCTACGATCGCCAGGTGGATCAAGGCCTGTATTGCTCAGGCTTACCGGACCTATTCCTTACCAGTCCCAGGTCGACTAACGGCCCACTCTACTCGTAGCGCTTCCACATCAGCGGCGTGGCAGACTCAGGCTACTATATCTGATATCTGTAGGGCAGCGACCTGGTCATCTCCCTCACCTTTCATTCGGCACTACAAGCTTGATATGTTTGCATCTGCTGAGGCCGCGTTCGGCCGCCGGGTTTTGCAGCAGGTGGTCCAATTTAGTGATGACACTTAACCGGCCTGCATCCCTCCAATGGGACCATAAGGGCTTTGGTATGTCCCATCCGTGGAGTCTACATTCCTCCATTTGCTGGAGAAGGGGCGTTGTCTTACCTGAACGCCTTTTCTCAGCAAAGAGGAATGTAGAATCCACTCCCTCCCTAGTCAGTTAGCAGTCAGGTTAGTGTCAATTCTTCGGGAGCCATCAAGTCACACAGACAATCACTGGCTTCGCCCTTTTCGAAACTGGGGCATGGTCAGACCCTGAAGGGGCGTGGCAACTTTGATTGTTTTGGTCTGATTGGGCTAGAGGACAAATAACACCCATCCGTGGATTCTACATTCCTCTTTGCTGAGAAAAGGCGTTCAGGTAAGACAACGCCCCTTCTCAAGGATCGACATGATATGGACCTCTAAAAATTTAGCAAATAAAACCATAACCCAATAGTTTTGGTTCTTAGAAAAAAAGTTTGAGTTATAGATGGAGATTAAATGAATCTATTTTACAAAAGGAGACAACTGTAAAGGACTGTAAAAAGAAATTACATGAATATTTTGATAATAATTTAGGTAAAGGGACAGATCTAATAACTGTTTGGAAGGCTAGTAAGGCATTATGAGGGGTTATTTTATGCAATACAATTGGTTAGAGAAGAAAAAATCTTTGGAAAAGACCCAAAAGACAGAAAGAAATTGATCGGACCCTAAAATTCTGCACCAAATTAACATACTACGTCAACAACTGTCTATGTTAACAGTCCAAGAAATAGAAATAAAATAGAGTTATGTGAAGCAAAGACATTTTGAGTTTGCAAATAAACCAGGGAGATGGTTGGCATATAGATTAAGAAAGGAGAGGGAAAAGAGAACGATTGAAAAAATTTGTGAAGGTAATAAAGTAATAACTGATAACAAACAGATTAAAAAATCTTTTCACAATTTTTATTCTAATTTGTATAGGATGCAGTAGTTAGATAGGTCAAAAATAGATGAATATTTGCTTAGACAAAATTTGCCGAAACTTTCACAAACTCAGAGACAATTTATGAGTGACCCAATAACTACCTTTGAAATATCAGAAGCTGTAAGAAAAATAAAATCTGGCAAAGCTCTGGCCCAGACAGACTTACAAGTCAATATTATAAATGTTTTGAAGGTGAATTTCTTCAGCCGTTAAAGGATATAATGAATGTTATATTACAGGGGAGAAAAATACCCCCAACATGGACAGAAGCTAATATTGTGCTACTTCCGAAGGAGGGTCAGGATGCCACAATGATAAAGAACTACAGACCAATCTCATTACTAAATAAGAATTATAAACTATTTGCTGCAATTTTGGCAGAAAGACTAAAAAAGCTTTTACAGGTATATATATTCATGACGACCAAGCTGGCTTTCTGCCAAAAAGGCAGCTAAGGAATAACATGAGAATGTTTTTGAATATTATTAAATACTTACAATATCACAACAAACAACAGGCAGTGTTAATATTCTTAGATGCTGAGAAGGCCTTTGACAACTTAAACTGGGTATTTATGTTTAAAGTTCTGCAAGAAATGGACTTTGGGGGGAATTTTATTCAAGGGGTCAAAGCTGTTTATACATTACAGCAAGCAAAAATGGTTATTAATGGCGATCTAACTAACTCGTGGGAAATTCCAAAGGGTACAAGACAAGGATGTCCACTATCTCCACTGTTGTTTATCTTGGTGCTGGAAGTCCTGAATAGAGATATCAGGCAAGGCGAGAAAATAAAAGGTATAAATGTTAAGAAGGAAGTGTATAAATTGAGGGCCTTTGCTGATGATTTGGTGATATTTCTCAAGACCCCAAAAATAATCTAGAACACTTGATGAGGAAACTAAATGAGTTTGGGTCCTTGGCCGGTTTTAAAACGAACAAGCAGAAAACATGAGTAAGAATATGACCTCACATGATGGTGATATATTGACTAAAATGTCTGGTTTTAGGGTTGAGAAAAAGGTGAAATATTTGGGGATTACGTTAACAAATTCAAACACAAACTTTTTTAAAAATAACTATGTACCTCTCTATGTGCCTGAGCAGGGGGTTGGACTAGATGACTTCCAAGGTCCCTGCCAACATCATCACCATCATCATCATTATTTTTTTTATATTATTATTATTATTATTATTATTATTATTATTATTATTATTATTATTATTATTATTATTATTATTATTATTACCGGTATTATGAAAAATTTTATAAGATGATGTACCATTGGTATTTAACACCAGATAAGTTATCAAAAATATATAAAGGCATTTCAAATGAATGTTGGAAATGTAAATGTAAAGAGGGGACTTTATGATGGATGTGTGACAAAGCAAGAAAATATTGGAGCAGGATTCATATGCTAATACAGAAAATTCTTAAAATGAATATAGAAAGAAAACCAGAGACTTTTCTTTTGGGGCTAAGGGACAAAGACCTAGAAAAAAATATGGAACTTGACAGCAGCAAGAGTATATGCTCAGAAATGGAAGACTACATCAATTCCCACAACGGAGGAATGGTTGCAAAAACTAATGGAGCTAGCAGAGATGGCTAAATTGACTGTACTGATTAAAGAAAAGAACACGAATACTTTTATTGCTACGTGAAAACCACTTCTGGACTTTGTGCTTGAGGTGGAAAAAAATGAAATTTTGATTTTGGGCTTTACCAATTAGATAGATTTGATGTTATCAAAATGGCTAGTTTATGTTATTTTGTAAAAGTAAAAAGCTGAGGTTTGATGTTGATATTCTATTTTACTGCACCAAAGGAAGTTGGAAGTCAATACCTTTTTTTCTTTTTTCTTCCTTCCCTCACTTTGCTATTCCGTTTTCCCTTCCCTATCTTTTCTGCTATTTACTTTTGTATTTTTGTTGTATATTATAAACTAATAAAAACTTATATGACAGATTAATTTGATTTTTTCCTGTACTTTTTTTTTAAAAAAAATATTGTTCAGCAAATATGAATTTTCCACATTTTGGGGAGATGTTTATCTGGCCATGGACAGATCAATATGTAATCTCTTTTTAAGTAAGAGTTTAGAAATCACTGTTAGTTTTTGCTAAAATACTAAATTAGCATTATTACTGTGTTACTACTGAGTATACAAATTGTAAGCCATTTTATGTTTAGAATTAGACAGTACTTTCTAAATACAAGAAAAATAATGATACAAAGTGTATTTGTATCATTCATATTTGAAGTATGCCATTAGATCTGTACACATAATTCTTGAAATTAACTAGAAACTGCTATAATTATTCTCCATATGTGGATTGTTATCAAAACTGTTTTGCAGTATTTTAACATTACTAAATGACATGCAATTCATCTTAATTTAGTTAATTTTGCCTACTGTTACCATATACTAGTTTTCCAGCTTTTTCTTTTGAACTGCTTATTTAATATCCCTCAGTACCAAGTGCAGTAAAACTTTAAAAAGCTTATTTTTATATCAACTTTATTATTACTCCAATTTATTTAAGACCTGTATAGCAAGAAGCCTATCGCGCCTGTCCCTACCAGCTCAGGAGCCGCTGACACCAGCAGCAGTAGCGCCAGTCCCGCTTCCAGAGCCCCGCCGGTCGCTACCAGTGTTCCATCGCCATCTGGCTCTGTCCCTGGAGCATCTGCCCCCTTTCGACCTCTCTTCAATGATTTTGGGCCCCCATCTATGGGCTACGTGCAGGCTATGAAGCCACCAGGTGCCCAAGGCTCCCAGAGCACATATACAGATTTGCTTTCTGTAATTGAAGAGATTGGCAAAGAGATCCGACCTACATACGCAGGTAGCAAGAGTGTTATGGAACAACTGAAGCGAGGCATTATTCATGCCCGAGCACTAGTAAGAGAGTGTCTGGCAGAGACAGAGCGCAATGCCCGCACGTAACACTCACTTCCTCCTGGCACCACCCTTGGAGGATCCTAGCACTTTCCAGCTAATCAATATTTTAGAATCTGGAGTTTCCCCCTTCCTTTCAAATCTTTCTACCAATCAGTGTCTCAAGTCTTAGAACTGTGATCGCCTTCAAAGACCTTTATACCAATTGGCACCTAAGAATCTGAAGTATCTCCATTTGCATCACAGAACTTCCCATCAATTGGCATTCTGGGAATATATACAGAAAACGTTCATTGTGCATATCCTTGGTTTACTAGTCAAAATAATTGCTGGTGACAAGTTCTATATCTTTATAAAATACATGAGGTTTTTGAAGAAATAAAAATCTTTAGAATTTGGATTATCTCTTCTTCACTATGCTTTTCTATTTTTTTTTAATGTGGTGAGGGAAATATTCTCTACCTCGCTAAAATATTCCTGAAGGGCATGTATTGCAAGATATGCTTCCTTAGTAAAGCAGTATGAAGCCCTCATTTCCTCTTGCAACAAGAGTCTCAACCAGTGATCACTGAGCCTATATTGCAAAACTTGTAATAAAATGTTTCTACTGTGTAGCAAAAACAAAACAAAACATTTTTAGAAGTGTACTTTTTCCTGTGTGAAGTGTCAGAACAGGCTAGTTTGTAGACTGGTATTCCACAGTGAATATTAATGTATTCATCTGGTACATAATAGTTGAATGGCCATATAAACTATAACAACTGAACAACATTTAACCATTGTTATAGTTGAATTTCCCTGATGGTTTCCTTTGCATGTTTTCCTGACAAGTTCTGTGGTAATGGATTGCATAAATATTTGCACTGAAAACTGGACATTATTGCATTTCTTGACTTGCTCTTTAAATAAGGAAATATGCTGAAGCATATCTTCAAGAAGACTTGGGTCCTAAAGAGTCAGAGAAATGGTCCAAATGTATATTTTGCAAAGTATTAGAAAAAGTAATAGTGAAAGAGAGTAAACAAATAGTTATGAAAATAGTTCTACAAATAGTATAGCAATATTATATTTTAAGCTAAGATGGGGAAAGATAGGAATTTTAATTAATATGTTGAAATATAGGTCCCTATTTAAACAACAAGAAGTCTAATATTCATTGATACATGCAGGCTGAAACATATATCAAGATAAATCACCAAAATTTCATTCTTATTCCTATAATGTTGTGTTCTGATGAGCAGGCCCATATTTAAACACTAAGAAATCTAATATTGTAAGCTTTGCAAGGTAGGCCAGGCAGGAAACATAACCAGAGGAACTAATTCTACTTGATTGTAAAGCTACATTAACAGAATCTTGTAAATCTGAGTACAATTCTGCGCCATCTCCTTTACAGCCCAAAAAACTTGGGAGGGTCTCTTCTGAGCCTTTCCCCCATCCACTATCCACCTGCAAGCTATGCCTTTTCTTATCTGACTATTCCCTTGTCAGTGTCTCGTTGTCCAGTCTCCTATAGTCTTTCCCACATATTATTACAAATAGGCTCTGATATACATAGAGAGGGTAAAAATGTTGTGCTAGGGTTCATCTGTTGATGAAACACTGCCTTATAATGTTTATTAGTAACTACTGGAGTGATTATGTCCATGTGCTGATGATGATCTACATCAGTGGTTCTCAACCTTTTTAATGCCGTGACCCCAACCGGTCGTAAGTCGAGGACTAAACCGGTCGTAAGTCGAGGACTAAACCGGTCATAAGTCGAGGACTAAACCGGCCGTAAGTTGAGGACTACCCAACTGGTCGTAAGTCGAGGACTTTCCCTGCCCGGGAGCGCCGCGCATGCGTGGTTCCGCCCCCTGCACCGGCCGAGGTGTAGCTGGCAAGCGGCAGAGATGGAGCAGGCCGACCACCAGTTGGCCCAGCCCAAGGGAGGTAAGGCACCCGCCGGAAAAGGGAGAAAAAAATGGCGGACAAAAAAAATGGACAAAAAAAATGGCGGACAGCCTTGCTTGGCGACCCCCATAAAATGGTCGATCGACCCCAAATGGGGTCCCGACCCACAGGTTGAGAACCACTGATCTACATCATAATAATTGAGTCAGATAAAGAGGTTTGTTAGGATGTACGTTCAATTCAGTCAAATACTGACAGTTTTCTTGGCAACATTTTCAGAAGTGACTTTCTGTTGTCTTCTTCCTAGGGCTGAAAGAAAGTGACTTGCCTTGATTTTAACTGGCTTCATGCCTAAACTGGCTTCATGCCTAAGGTGGGACTAGAATTTATGGTCTCCTGGTGGGATGGGGGGTGTTTGGTTTTTATTCCCCCCCCCCGTCTGCTGGGTGGTTGCAGCAGGTTTTGGTCACTTCACATGACCCTGGGACACTGTGACCGTCATAAATATGAATCAGTTGCCAAGCATCTGAATGTAAATCACAAGACCCTGGAGATGCTGCAACATTCCAGCTGATCAGCGCTTCTGCAGGGCTCAGCAGAAGTTCCAGGATCAGTGCTAAGCTCCAGCTGGAGTCTGGCGCTGATCCTGGCGCTTCCACTGAGTCCTGACAGCCCCAAAGAAGCGCCGATCAGCTGGAAAGCGGCACTGACCCTGGTGCTTCCGCTGAGCTCTGACAGCCCTGCAGCTCCAGCCGTCTCTCGCTCAGGCTTGTGCGGTGCTGCCACCGGTTCAGCTCATTCCCCTCCCCCGCTACCACTTTTCTAGGATGGTCGCGTACCACCTGCCAGGTGCCAATGTACCACAGGTGGTACCCGTACCACTGGTTGAAAAGCCTTGATTTAAACAACAATGTTATGAAAACTTAGACAGTGCAACAGATTCTTAGGAAAATTGGAAAAAGGTGCTAGGTAGTCAGTATGGCCATTATACTATAATAGTAAATTTATTGTATTGGCTGGAGTAGATAGCCTTTATTTAACAAAGATTAACACTCTGATATTAACAATATCTGATATCTGCCTGCCTGCAACAAACACATATTTGTAGTACTTTTATATTTTTGCACTAATCAGAAACATTGCCTGATCTATATGTCAATGAAGATTCTCAATCATCCAGGTAAAGTTATCTGAAAGCTGAGTCATGGCAACTGGATTTATTTTCTTGTTGGTTTGAGATATTTCACGGCTTATCCAAGCAACTTCAGTTGTCATGATTCAACTTTCAAACGATTGCCTGATCTACTTTGGAAGTGCAGTTTTAAAGCAACTGGCATTGTATCAGGATGCTTTTTTAAGCAATATTGTAAGGAGTTGTGAGAATAAAACGTCTTTTCCATTGTTTCAGAAACAAGTGTGATACTATGCAATCCTTCTGAGTCAAATAAACATTCTTTAGTTTTAATGAATCTAAAAATAATACTTTACCTTCAACTAGAAGGAATGGGTACTGTCATGCTAGATCAGTAACACTGAATCTTTTGGGCGCGGAATCTTTTAGTTATAAAACGCCTAACTTGACTCTCGTGACATGTCACACCCACCCACTCCCAAACAAAAGAGAACCAATTATTTATGTCCCTCTCCATTTATGCCACTCTGAACAATGGCACTTGATGGCAGTGCCAAGACTGGCCCAAAGTTGAGGCATGGGCTTCAACTTCAGCCCTAGCATTACCACTGTCACTCAAAAAGGCTGCTTCACTTCATTCCCCAAGGTGTGTGAGCTTTTGGGAAAGGCATGATTTCCCCTGTGGCCCAGTGCTCCCCAAGATCTGCCATGTACTACTTACCTTCAGGCAGTATTCTCTTTCTGTTAACAGGCCCCTGCGACCTACCCAAGGCAGTTTTGGGTTGCATGAGGCCTTCTTTCTTCACAACTATTTAATAATAGTTTAAATAGTTAAGCATCCTAGGGTCCTTTCGAAGGGAATGGAGAGAAACTAATTTTAGGTAGGTTGCCTGATGCAACTTTCTCCCCACCAGTCCCTTTTACTAGAAACAATTTTATTTTACTTTGACTCTTTTGGACAGTTTTGTAATTTGTTAAATGTTGCTGATTGGATTATGGGTATTCATTCATATATTTTAAAAATTAGAAAAATCTTTCTGGATTTCCCACCCTAATTTTGTACTGTATCATTATGCTTTCCCTTCTAGTGGAGGCGATAGTGGAGTTTGACTACAAGGCTCAACATGATGATGAGCTGACAATCACTGTAGGTGACATCATCACCAACATCAGAAAGGAAGATGGAGGTTGGTGGGAAGGACAGCTCAAAGGCAGAAGAGGTTTGTTCCCTGACAACTTTGTAAGAGTGAGTACAAAGTGAAAACTGTTAATTGTTTTATGTCATCAACTTACATTATCTTGTTGAGATGCAGGTTTGCAATATTGGGAGCCAAACTGAAAACTGAATTATTTGAAAAGCTTTATGAAAAAAATTAAATGATACCTGTTGTTTTGGTTATAATTGCTACTGATGTATTGTTTTTGTGATATTTTCATAATCACCGTTTATTTTTATTTAGTGTTTCATTTGTATTAATATTGATGTAAAACATTGAGAAACAGGTTCAGTTGTGGCAGTATACAAAAAAGTAAACAATGACTTTTTATCAAATTGAAGGTAAAGATTTGAGCATAAAAAAAGAACAGAGCACAATTACATATGTGTAGATATGTTTAATTATTTTATAAAAATCACAATTATATAGCACATAGTTTATTTTTAAGATATGTATTTAAAATATTGCATTTAAGACATAATAGAGATTTGTGAAGACAGAGGGTGCTAAGAATCATCAGGGTAAATCAGGCTGCCTTTGGACTTTGGACATAGGAATGGTCAACATTCAAACAATGAAAACAGATGCCCATCTAGAAGAACTGCTGATTAAATTCAACAATATCCATTGGGCTATCATTGGATTATGTGAAACACGACAAAAAAATGAAAAAATAGTTGAACTTGATAGGACTGGGCATTTACTCTACACTAGAGATACCGAAGGTGGACGATTTGGCGAACTTGGTTTTCTCATCAACCAAAAACTGAAAGACTGTTGTAAAATTTGAAAGTATATCAGACAGAATAGCTCATTGCATCATTCAATTGAACAAACTATACAAGCTTCAAATCTTACAAGCTTACATGCCAACAATAAGCTATAGTGATGATGACGTCGAACAGTTTTACAACAATGTGGCCCGCCTTCAAGATAAAGAAAAATGCCAATACAAAATACTAATTGGTGACTTTAATGCAAGGAAGAACAATACCTGGAGAAAAAGCAACTGGCCCATATGGAAGTGGTGAAGGAGATAATAAAGGTGACAGACCAATAAATTTTGCTGAAGGACAGGAACTGTATATCATGAACTCATTTTACAAGAAAAAAGCTAGCAGAAAATGGACATGGAAGAGTCCATCTGGGTACACAAGTGAGATTGACTACATTGTGTCAAGTGATAAAACCATATCCTGCAATTGTACTGTCATCAATCGTTTTAATGTTGGAAGTGGCCATAGAATGGTACGAGCTAAAGTGAAGATAGACTGTCGAAAAGTGCGTATGAAAATGATAAAGACATCACAAAAAACAAAAATAAAGAGTGATAAACTGTTAGAGAAGAACAGTGATTTTGAGATTAATCTAAATCACTTTGCTCTATTGCAAGATTTGGAAGAGATGAATATTACAGACCAAAATGAACAAATAGTCAAAAACATCCTTGAATCTGCTACATCTATAGCACTGCCGGAAAAACACCTTGTACAGTCTCTGATGAAACTATTGATTTAATGCAAATACGATGGACAATGAAGAATGCCAGAAGTTTCACTAATAAATTGGAGTATATTGAACTTTGTAAGACCTTAGGAAAACGTATCCAAGATGAAATGCATCAGTTTAATGTGAAACTTGTGGAAAATGCAATTGAAGAAAACAAAGGGATTAATGGAGCAAAATGCAAGCTTATAAATACAAGAAATAAGGCTTTTGCATTAAAACATGAAGATGGTTCTTGTGTGTAGAACAAGATAGGAAATGTCTGGTATGCACCTGGAGTTTATAATGAAGCTGTGGAAGTAGCAAAAAGCTGTCATCATGAAAGGCAATTCAAGAGGGAGGAAGACCATGGGTACAATGTCCTTTCAAAAAACTACAGCTGGGCTTTATATAGCTACCAAAGGCTAACAGTTTTCAATATGTGTTATTATGTAGGCATCAGCTCACCTACTGGGTAGAAGTTTTCCCTTGTCATGCCACTGCACGTGAAACAGCCTGGCACCTATTAAAAGATATAGTGCCAAGGTTTGGGGTGCCTAATGTCTTAGACATGAACTGAGGGAAACACTTTGTGTCACAGGTGATTGACACATATGTTGCAAGCTCTAGGGACAACCCAGAACCTTCATGTACGCCTTACCACCAGGCTTTTTCTGGGGGTAGAACATCAGAATAGGAAGCTTAAGACCTTCCTAGGCAAACTTTGTCAGGAGACACACCTGCCATGACCTCAAGTGCTCTATTCAATCTAAGAACCAAACCTAGATGAAACTTAGGCATCTCCCCTTTTGAATTACTCTTTGGCTGCCCCCAGACACCATGAAGGGTTTCAATCCCCACTCCCTTAGCCTAAAAAGGGGGGAGGTGGTCTTATCATCCTATCTTTCAGCCTTGCACCAGCAGCTCCAGAGATTGTGGAAACATAGTGCCTTGACACAGACATTGCCACTCGAAGAGAATCTTTATCCCTTCGAGCCAGGAGACTGAGTCTGAATCAAGTCATTCTCCCAGAAATCCCCCCCCCCATGCAACCCAGGTGGAAACAACTTAAACAGTCATAAAGGTAGCAGAGAAGGATGCCTGGATCTATTGGACCCACATCAAGCTGGCAGTTTTTGACCATAGCATTGAACCAGCCCCGACGCCGAAGGTGTCACCTCTAAGACTGAAGAAGGACACAGAGACAGACAAATGGGCATTAAGGATTATATTTTGAGATGAGAACCATGGGGAAGACTGGGAGGGATTTAAATGTGTTCTAGCATTGTACCTGATATATTCTGTGACACAGCTGACCAACTGATTTATTGAAACAAATCTGTTCCTTGACAACGAAAATATATGGGTATATTTGGCAAATGAACTGTTAAATGCTACATAATTCTATATAAAAGGGGAAGGTTGGTAAGGATATTTTGTCAACCTGCCTCATAGGCCCATAAGCCACCCAAAATTTCACTTGATTTAGAGATTTCTATTTAATAGTTTCATATTCCACCATTTTTGACCCAGCACAAATTTTAAAGAAGAAAGCACTGTTAATGTAACTAATGAGATGGATGCTTCAAAATGGACAGTTATATAACTCCAAGGGCACCAGATTGCCAAAACTTGAATAATACTGCCCTCTCCTGCAACCATACCAAGATAATTCCCTTTGCATATAACCATATCAAACTTCCCTTGTTGTGGTTCATACTCTATGACACAAAGGCTTATTTGTACATCCCAATGCCACTGGGGGACCCTGTACCCTGGGACAGTTAGAAGTTTTCATGCCCTCCCTAAGAGGTGGCAGAGAAGGGGTCTCCAAATCCTAACATCTGATTGTGACTCCCAAATGCCCTTATTCACCAAAATGGAATATGTGGCACTAGCAGCATCATTGGTAGGTGTGCCAGCACTTGCTGTGGGTAATGTAAGAAACATAAGCAGTCTGGCATGCACCCTCATAAAAAGTCTAAATTCGACCTCCCAAGCCCTAGATGCCCTGAACAGGGAACTGAGACAGGTTAGAGAAGCTATACTTGAAAATAAGGCAGCCATTGATTACTTACTACTGAGACACAATTATGGCTGCTCGGAGTTCCAAGATATGTGTTGCTTCAATTTAACTGAATACTCAGAACTAGTAGAGAGTGACATGAAACATTTAAAAGAACTATTGCATGGTATTGGCTATGACAAATTCTCCTTTGACCTACCTGGGCTCTTCTCTTGGCTGTCAGACCTCCATTTATTAAGGCACTCCTTTTGGGGGCTGCTACTGTGGTCACCTTGGGGATCCTTCTCTGCTGCCTCTGCCAGTGCATACCCCTATGCTTAAACAATTTGAGAAACTGCCTCCCCACTTCATCAAAAAGAGACACAAGACAGATATTGTTAATGATGTATAAAATAGACAAAAATATGAACTTTACTTCAATTAAACAGGATTGTGCTGAATGTTGTTTCACAAGTATTAGCACAAAACGGAGAATTGTACGGAGCCCCCCCCAAAAAAAATTAGGCGAGTAACTGTTTTATATTAATGAAGAAAGGATTAAATGGATTAAAGCACTACAACCTTGAATGTTTCAAGTGTTTTGATGATTCATCTTGGATTATGGGCTTGTAGCCATCTTGTCACTTCACTCTTCTCTTGAAATCAGTAGCGGGATTCTAGCACTGCAGTCCCCATTCATGAGAAAAGAAGAAGAGCCTCATTTATAGGGATAATGATTGGTAATTGAGAGCCCAGCTGGAATCTACTTTTCATTTATAAACGACAGTAATGTCGCTTATAGGCCTTTCAGTCTTTTTCATTGACCAAAGCTGGCACCTCTGAGATGATCTAGACCAGTGGTTCTTAACCTTTTTGAACGAATCGCCCCCTTGAGCCAATGAGGAAGTTGTCATCGCCCCCCTCCCCCAACATAACCTCTCAATCACAACTTTGCAATACTGAAGACCTCTTAAAATGTGAAATGAATTTATATAAACTTTCATTTCTCTCCCCCAGAATAAAGTTAATAATTTTGTGGATGTGAGGGCTGGGCAAGGTTTGAATATTCAGAGACTTTTAATAATTACATTTTAATCCATATATCACAGGGTAGTCAAGCTACGTAGAACCACAACTGCTAGCTTGAAATGAGTGAAAATGAGAGATTTTCAGGGGGAGTGCTGGCTGTGTTTTCACTGTGCCTTTAGAGCAGACTGGGTGGGTGGTCAAATCTTTCCTCTCCCTCCCTTCCCCCTTCTTTCTCCAGGTGAGGAGAGAGAAAGAGAGGGAGAGAGAG